CCACACAAACACACACTGAGCCTCATATACATCCATTCCCACACAAAAACACACTGAGCCTCATATACATCCAATCCCACACAAACACACACTGAGACTTACACATGCTCACACACACACTAACTCACACACAATCTCTCACACTTGCGTAAACTCTCACTCGCACACTTGCGCACAAACACATATTCTCAAACACAAACAACTCACAAAGAGACGTACCCAATTTTTCATTTGATTCTCAAAATATTGGTGAACTGACTCCTCCTAACAAAAGCACAGTCTCAGTTACAGACCCTTTACTGCAGCCTGTTATACCTTTGGAGCTGGAAGTCTCTGATGGGATATGCCCACTGCCTTTAATTGGGCAGAAAATCTGTCTCTATGCCAAATAAGGAATGCCTCAATCAAGATCCTGAAGAATGACTGTTCTGTTCTCCACATGGGCCCAATTAAGGAACCCAAAAATAATCTCTATGACGCTGCCCAAAGCATAAATTCTATTCCTCATGCACTAAGCCTGCCTAGTACAGCTTGAAGAATAAAGAAACTGCCTGTCTGTTGCTTCACTGACATACGTCAGCACTAACCTTGGAGAAGCAGCCCTGTTTCCATTGCTTCCAGTGCCCCACACCAGACACGCTTACACCTGTCAGAATCATACCACCAGCTGCTGCTAAATTTAATGTTTGGGGCCAAGAGCCCCACCCCATTGTCACAATCCCGAGGCAGGATTGTGGCTGTCCAAACAGATTTCACACTGGAGATTCACAGCCTGTGGACTTTCCTCTTGTTAATTTGTAATTGGGTTCCAAAGGTGAAAGATCAGTTTCTAACTCATTGCCTCACTGAGTCCAGTCTCATACCTGCTTCCTCACACTAGTTCAATTAGCTAATACATATTTATTTCTAAAAAGTTTTTTTTTGGCAATTGTTCTTTGGGTAAATACCCATACCATTCAGCTTATATATGGTACAGATGTTTTGGCATTCATTCTTCCATTGGCTTTCTAAGGTACCCAGTCATACTTTCAATTGAAGAACACTGTACAGTTGAGCAGCAGCGACATATGGCCAATAAGTTCAAGGAAACGTTTGGTTCTATGCTTATCACCAAACCTATCGAAGCAAATGCTGAGCAGTTGCCCTCCCCAGCGCAGCTTACAAATAAAATTATCGTTAAGGTGAGAGTGTCGCTTTGGTTTGATAATTTTCACATGATTTAAATCTACTTGTCAGAGCTCTGTTAACACTGGGGAGGTTAGGAAAGAAAATGATTTAACACACAAAAGAAATTATTTATTATCAGAAGTGGCCATTAAAGCCAAGCCAGTCATCACATTTATAAATACAAAGCAAGGCTTTTATTGAAAAAGCAGGAAAATGGGGTTAGGGTAGTGACTCCAATATGCAGTGACCCACCAGAACTGGGCCCTGAAACACTATCTCCTCTGAATATATTGGATGTTTGGGGTTCGGTTCTTACTTCATAATAGACAGATATCGATCAATATGCATTTGCCACTTAAAGTCACATTAGACCTTTGGTATTCATGGATGAAACTGACCATTTTTATTTGGGTTTCGAGCATAGCACGGACAAAGACCACAAGACCATTAGAATGAATATATGGGTGAATATGTTATGAGTAAACCACTTAGCAGACAGAGCTGGCTTGGGAATGGCCGCTATTTAGAAATTCCAGCTATCTCCAGCTTTTTAATTGCATGACATGCACTGATACTGCATCTATCCATGTTGTGAAACTTTTCAAAATATTTGTGTCTATTATTGTTATCTCTAATACTATAAAGTAGAAGTGAGCCTGCAATACGGCTGATTGGTACATGCTAATTGGTCAGATCCCAAATTTGATCTGCTCTAACTAAACAGCACTACAATCCAATTAGATTCCCCACAGAATGTAGAAGGCAGCCGCATTGGATGTTGCTTTCAAATAATAATTAAAGTTTTCAGCTCGTTTTAGGTCTAACTAAGTTCCCAATGTTATTTTGTCATTGCTATTTTAACTTACTGTTATAATTCCTAACATTTTCTTTTTGTTTAATTATCCCATTCACCACCCATTGTAGAGAGGTTACCTCTTAATGAATAGTGGCATCTGGAAATTGTAGTGTGTTGCAACTAGTTACTGACCTGTCATTCTGTTTATATTCTGAAATTTCTGTCACTGTTATAGCACAAAAAATTGGAATCTCAGCAAGAGACCTTTACATCCACTGTTTACACCTCCTACAAGGAACTTGAAAAGAAATCTGGGTTTCTTTATCTCCTGGATCCAATTGATCTGGTAAAATCACATGTATCACTATTTATAGCCATCTCTTGTGTCTTGTACAGGATTCATAGCTAGCATTTTCTTTAAAATTAAGTTTCAAAAGATGCATTGAAATACTGATACTGTGTTATGATCACAATTGATGGTACTAATGGACAAGTCAGTGAAATCAGGCTTGATAGAACTTTTTTTTGTTTAGTTTGTTAATATGGTGTTTAGTCACTGAAACACATTCACCCGAGGTTGTAGATTTCCTTTTAGATCTGAACAGAAGTTTATTACACAAAAGAAGAATTCTTCTCTAAAAAAACACTATATCTACGGGAGACAGTTAGAATGATCTTAAATCAGACAACAAACCAAAGATTCAGAGATAGTAGGAACTGCAGATGCTGGAGAATCTGAGATAACAAGGTGTAGAGCTGGATGAACACAGCAGGCCAAGCAGCATTAGAGGAGTAGGAAAGCTGACATTCCCAGACCTGAAACGTCAGCTTTCCTGCTCCTCTAATGCTGCTTGGCCTACTGTGTTCATCCAGCTCTACACCTTGTTAAACCAAAGATTCAACCTGTTTTCCAACACTATCCACTATAGAGCAATTACAACTGTATCTCAATTCTTTAAATTTCTACTTAAATGACTCCTTACAGTTTCTTTGCCATGATCTGTGGAGACAATTCAATGAGTCCCTTCTAAGTCTGTTGGCATGAACTTTTCTCAAGGCTGAGAGCCTAAACTTTCTCAACATTCTTATAACCTGCGAATTTCTAACCAAACATTCCTGGTTTGGAAGCTTAACAAATTAAACCACTCCACTGAGGTAAATGGTTCTCTGAACTGCCCCAGATTTCTCCTCGGAGAGAAACTAATCTTGCTTGTAAGCTCAACTCTGGTGTTTTATGAAAAAATAATTTGCTCAATCCTAGATTCCTCTGAGCTAACAACTAAGTTGTTGGCATTAAATGTTTGTCCAACCTGTTGTAAATTCAACAGTGTAAACATATTTTTCTTAACTCAGCATTCAGATAGTCTCCCACTTTCTGATAAATGCTGAAATTAGGTCACCATTCCACAAGGTCTCTTTGACCTTGTGTTTTTCAAACAAAAATGTGCCAGAAGTAGCCAACATTTACCTGCACCTATTTTGACAGATAATTTCCAATAATGTGATTAATATATATAAATTATGCACCCTTTATCAATACTGGAAGATGCTAAATCAGAATTCTGTTAACTTTAACCAAGTGCCATACGTGAGGAAATCTCTGAAAGTATAGTTCATTAAAACAACACCAAATCCTTTGCAAACTGATGTGATTTGTATATAGCTGACCAAATCAAACAAACTGAATCTATATCAATGAGCTTGTATAAGATCAAGGCATATTTCCACTACATTCTGTTATAAGATACGTAGAAGTTCAAGGGCTCACACATAAGATTTGTGAGTCACTTAAAGGAACCATAACTGTGTTGGTGTCTTATTGTTTTGCTTGCATCATATCCATCAAAAATGTTATGCACATACAAAACCTTTCCTGACAGACTGTGCAAGTGCTTGCATTTCTAGCTTCTGATTTTAATACCCTTTCAAAATATCAAATGTATCACAAATTAGGTGCTGTTTTACATATTTGCTGGTATTATCGTCATGCATTTCGATTTCTTTTACAGACCTGGTACAAGCACTACTGTGTGATAGTAGATGGAAAGCTTTATTTTGCAGATTCAACAGATGAAGATGATGAATTAGCGAGAGCGAGAAACCAGGTATCATTCTTCATATTCTGCTTTCTTCCATCCTCTCTCCTAATGTCTCTTCCTTCTCTGCATAGACATTCATCAGGTTTCATTTCAGTCTTCCAATGTGTAATCGAGAAGTTAAAAAAAGTCTCCAAACATAATTTTTCTTTGTCTCCTCCATATCCTCTAAATGACGTAGTGAGTTGGAAATGCAGTCTACACCAAAAGCTAAAGCACAGTTGTAGTCAAGTTTCTATCTTCAGTTTCCATGCCAAAAGCTCTGTACTCTGATGATATCACTTCTTGACTATCTCTATTTATATTTAATAGGTATAATTTGCTTTCATCTTTTGCTTATCCCACAATACAGCGGCAAAATATTACTTCATCGAGTTTGCTGATCTCTGCTGCAGAGACAGAATGTGTGTATTGGACTGCTATTAATATTGAACCAGTACCAAGAGCTTAATTTTAACAACAATCACTGCAACTGTATTGTCCTTACTTGTATTACCCATGGGTGAGTCAAGTGTTTACTAAAAAGGACCATCTCAAAATGTTTGAAGCACTTCATTAGGAAACTATCCTCTGATAGAGGAGACCCAGAAGTGAATGCAGCATCATATCATAGAATCCATATAGTGCAGGAAAAGGTCATTCACCCCATTGGATCTGTACTGACCCTCCAAAGAGCATCACACCCAGACCAGACCCCCACCCTATCCCCATAAACTTGTATTTACCATGGCTAACTCACCTAGTTTGCACATCCCTGAACAGTAAAGGGCGGTTTACCATGGTCAATTCACCTAACCTGCACATCTTTGGACAATGGGAGGAAACTGGTGCATCTGGTGGAAACCCACACACACACGCACAAGGAGAGTATGCAAACTCCACACAGACAGTCACCCAAGGCTGGAATTGGTCCCTGCACTGTGAGACAGCAGTGCTAACCCACTGTGCCCCTGTGCTGCCCATGGAGCAAGGTTGTCTCCTCTATTTTCTGTTTGGTGATTTTCATGCTCTTCCCTCTTAGAAAACAGTGTGGAGCTTCAGAAGAACAAGTCTCCTCTTGTTGACTATTAATGAACTTAAAAGTTCCATGTTCAGTGACAGCATTAAATCAGTCTTAGTTGAATTCCAGTTATCAATTAGGATCTCATAACATGACATTTATCTATTTCCCATTCTACCCGTCTTCTATTAAGAACTATTTTCTAACATTCCTTGATTTTTTTTTGTATGATTATCATAAACTTATGCCCTTTCATTACCATCACACTAGCCATTATAAGCAATTTATCATTAGTTACACTTATTATAATCTAGATGACCTCTCCATATCATCTTTAACTTCCTCAACTCTGGTGAACAACAGCCAAATTCTTGAGTTTTCCACTGTGACTGTAACAAATCACATTTAATCATACTCTGGTGAGTTTATGCAGTGGCATTATAGAGTCATAAAGGTCTACAGCACAGAAAGACATTCATTGGCCCATCAAGTCTCTGCAGGTCAAAAACACTTTTGAAAAATACTTCTATATCCATTCAAAATGGGATACATATTATTCCAACGGCAGCCTAATGTTTTATGCAAATTCCATCCTACTGCCTGGCTATTGTGTGCTACACCTCTCAATACGAAAATAGGAATTATGCTTGTCTTTGGCATCCTGATGCTTCACTTTACCATTCTACTGTACTTGCTACTGTGAACCTGCACATCACCACTCTGTGGATTTGCTTTTCATTGAACCATACAGCACAGAAGGAAGCCTTCTGGTTCTTTAAAAGAAGTATCTAATTATTCTCAATTCCCTGGATTTTTCTCACATCCTTGCAATTTTCTTCCTTTCAAGTATATTTCCTTCTTCAAATTTATTATCAAATCTGCTTCCTTTCATGTACTGCATTCCAAATAGTAAAAAAATCATGAGATAAGAAAGAAAATTCTCTTTCTGTTTCCTCTGGTTTGTTTGACATCCCCTAAAATCAGTGTCCTCTGCTTAAATAGCCTTCTATCAGTGGGAAATCATTTTTCCATATTCACTTCAGCAAAACCTTCAAAATGTTGAATTCTTCTATTGAACTTCCATTTCTTGTCGCATCACTAAAAGACCTTCATTCTTTGTACTGGTTTCAGTAACTCTTTTTTGCATCCTTTTCGGTCTTTTGTGAATTCTTTTCAAATCTTTGACATCCCTTCCATTTCTGTGTTCCACACCTTTCATAATATAAGTGCCATTTCATAGCAACACTGTATCTGTGGAAACTAGTAATGAAAACTGTTTTATTTAGGCATTGAATAGCACAGATCGTCACTTTAATGAGAAATGGTTTCATGGGAAAATGGGGAAAGATGGCAGACAGAGGGCAGAGAAGCTGCTCCAAGAGTTTTGTATGGAAACAGGTGGACGAGATGGAACTTTCTTGGTCCGTGAGAGCGACACATTCCCTGGAGACTTCACATTGTCATTTTGGTACTGATATTCTGCGTTTTAAATTAACCTTTTTATTCTTTAATATTATTTAATGGAGATTATTGCTTAAAATGTGACATTAAAAATGGCTTGTGAATTACCAGTGTTGGGAAGATAGGATAAAATAAAATATTAAAACATAGAAGAATTAGATAAATGTTAAATCTTGGCTTTACCCTAGTTCTGTACCAGCATCTTCAGAAATGTTTGAAATTATTGCAATAAACTATTAAATGAGGTATACTGGATTACAAAAGAACAAAAGCTCTTAAACTGTTAGCAGGCAACATTACATCAACAAGTTGCTAGAATCCTGGGGCTGAAATAGATGAAAGTTGGAGCCTGTCGAGTTAAGGTCAGGATGATCAAACTGCAATAGAAAATTGGGATTCTTTTCCACCCAGAAGAGAGTACATAATTTAGTAAGGAATGACCAAAATGTGTAAAAGAGAAAATGAAAAGAGAGAGCAAACACATTAAAGGAAAGCAAATTTATTTTGCTTTAATACGGTCATTATGACATGAACGTTTGCACACTCAATTCCTCTGTTTTTGAAATGATCACTGAGTTTTAGACTTGGAGCTCAACTTGACACCTGATATCAAGCCCTGGGAAAACTTCCATACTATTCCAAACAAGGAATAAAAAACCTTCCAAAGACACTTGAAAATAAGTGATAGAAATCCACCAACATAAAATACAAACCCCAAACTAGATTCAAACAATGCAATTTTTTTACTTGACTCAAGATTCCCTGATTTGTTAACAATATATCTGGTCTGTATTGAGGTTTTTTGGATGACATATGTCTCCCACATCCAACATAGAAGCCAGGACTCGGGTTGCCTTGCTGGCTGACATCTGCCCAGTTTTAAACAGATGTCATAATGTTTCAAAATGAACATACGCTTCACATGTTGCTGGCCCTTGGCTTTGGGCTGAATGAAGCAAAACAACAAAATAAACATCTCTCTAGAAAATGGTTAGGAAAATTAAAAATGTATGTATTTTATAAATAATATACCGACCGTGGCTGGGGAACATAAGAGCTACGAGCAGCAAATGAGCCCCTTAAGCCTTCTCCATGATCATGGCTGATCCCATCTCAGCCTCAACTCCACTTTCCTGCTCGCTCTCCATAACCTTTCAACCCATTGCTAATTAAAAATCTGTCTATCTTCTCCTCAAATTTACTCAATGTCCCGACATCCACTGTACTCTGTGGTAGTGAATTCCATCGATTTATGACCCTTTAAGTGATTTCCCCTCATCTCTGTCTTAAATCTGCAACCCCTTATCCTAAAACTATTAATTCTTGTTCTAAGATTGCCGCACATAAGGAAACATCTTTTCCATGTCTACTTTGTCAATTCCCATTAGCATCCTACATACCTTCATTAGATTTCATGTCATTCTTCTGAACTCCACAGATTATAGGTCAAAACTGCTCAATCTCTGTTTGTCTCTGGAATCAATCTAGTGAACCTCCTTTGAACTGTGTCCAATACAATTATGTCCCTCTTCAAGTAAGGCAACTAAAGTTCAGGTCAAAAGCTCCACTTGCAGTCTCACTAATACTTTGGACAGTTGCAGCAATATTTACAACTTTGATACTCTTTTCCTTGAACAATAAATGCCAAAATTTCATTGCCCGAAACGTCAGCCTTTCTGCTCCTATGATGCTGCTTGGCCTGCTGTGTTCATCCAGCTCTGCACCTTGTTGTCTTGCTTTCCTTATTACTTGCTTTACCTACATTCTAATTTTCTATGATACATGCACAGCGACACCCAGATCTCTTTGCACCAAAGCATGCTAAAGTTTCTCTCCATTTAGATAATAAGTTGCCTTTCTATTCCACCAACCAAAATGGATAACCTCACACATATCTATATTAAACTTCATCTGCCAAATTTTGGTCCGTTCACCTAACCAACCTTATCCATTTGCAAATTTCTTACTTCTTCATTACATCTTACTTTTCCACTTATTAGAGTGTCATCTGAAAATTCGGCTATAGTACTTTCTAACCTGCATCCAATTCATTAATACAGACTATAAATAGTTTGGACTCAATGATCGAACCCTGTGACATTCTGCTAATTACATCTTACCAACCAGAAAAAGACCAATTCCTCGTGATTCACTGCTTTCTGTTGGTTAACCAATTCTCTGTCCAAGCTACTGAATTACCCTTAACCTCATGTGACCTTACCTTGTGCAATAACCTTTTATACGGCACCCTATCAAATGGGAAGAGACAAGTAGCAAACCTACAAATTGTAAAAATCAAAAATGAAGATACAGACAACTGGGAGTCCAGGGAATAAAAAATTTCAAACCTGAACTTAGTTTAAAGAGTGAAGCCAATTGACATATTAAATTTGACTTTGATTGTGCATAAATATGTAAGATGTGCAATGCTGCAGGAGCCACCTGTTTTATTATTCACTAAATTTGCATCTCCTGGAATGGACATGGTTGACTAAGAAGGAAAATATTAGCCAAGATTCAGCTGCTGATAACTAATCTGCCCACGGAAAGGTACACATGTAGATAATTTCTACCCAACGTGTTTGGAGAGGTTATTGTAAAATTCCAAAGTAGGTGGGCTTCCTGGGTTAGAGGGAGGGACACTACCACTGCACCACCTGGCCTCTTGCTCCTGGTATTCCCAAGCAGTCTTCCATCCATGTACTAGCTTGGACCTGTGACTGCTTAACTTTGAGGATCAGCTGCAGATCAGACTAGTACTGCACATGGATGTGTTGGTTGAGAAGGACACCAAGCTTTAATGAGGTACTTACTCTTCACTGTCCAATGTTTGCTGAATTTAACATGAAGTACCAAAAGGTTGCCAGCAGGTGTCAGCAACTTCTCAGAGGTTTGGAATACAGTAGAGAGAAAATATATGAAAAATGACACATTAAAAAAGGCTTGGAAAAGTTAATCTCCTTATCATAATTAATGATGTAGGCTCGAATGTAGTTTTATCTCAAAATAAATCAGACTCAGACAGCCCAATTGCATGTTTTTTTACATTAAAACGGTGACAACTTGAAAATACATTGTTGACTGTGAAGCAGTTTTGGACATGCTGAGCCTGTGACAGGTAAATATATAAACACAAGTTCTTTCTTTATCACTGGATCGTTTTAGTATTGTATCACACTGAGGCACTTTCAGGACTTCAGCTTGATTCCGTGCATATGGTGAGATCTAGACTGCCGATAGTCATTTGCAGATGGTGAACAGAGCCTAAACCTTGCTGCAAGATGAAAGCACAAGTCACCTGAGGCACATGTCTCCAAGAAGATGTTATCAGAGCAGTGCTAGAGTAAATAACCTAGCTGCCCTGTTATTTACTAAATAATGCAGAGAGGCTCTAAAACGTGGAAGAAGCAACATTCAGAGATAAAATTGCATGAGCTCAAACAAGATTGAATTTAAATTAGAACCTCGTAGCATGTTCTAACCTTTTCTTTGCATTTATTTATACAGGAGAAATGGGAGAGTCCAGCACTGTCGCATTCGTTCTAGCACAGATGGAGAGAGCAATAAATATTTCTTGACTGATAATTTAACTTTCCACAACGTCTATGATCTAGTTCAACACTATCAGAATGCACCTTTACGATGCAGTGAATTTGAATTGCGTTTAACTGAAGCAGTACCTAGCCCAAATCCTCATGAATTGCAAGAGTAAGTTAGAAATTTGTGCCGTCAATTTAAGCATCACATGAATAGAGAAAAACAATACAATTTGTGGATGTAAATTGAAAGTGTACAATATTTTGTTACTTCGTTATTTTCCAACAACATGGGCTGCATTTCTAGACCAAGCTGTCACAAGGAAAATCTGCTTGTGACTGATTCCTGAGTTTAGATATTGAGTCACAGGTTGAAATTGTCTGTAAAATCTTTCTGTATAAACATAGCAATCTTTTAAAGTCTATAAATGAAAAGCAAAAATCACGTCTCTCCATGTAGCCACTTTGTAGCCTTTATAAGCAAGTTTGCTAATTTAGTACAAACACAGAGCATCTTGGAGAGACACAGCAGGCCTGGCAGTATCTGTGGAGAGAATGCAGACTTAATGTTTCAACTCCAGCATGACTCTTCTTCACAAAAAAACTCTGTCCACAGACGCTGTCAGACTTTCTGAGTTTATTCAGCATCCTCTGTGATTGTTTCAGATTTGCAGCATCCACAATACTTTGCCTTTTATTGCTAATTTACTCCCAAGTTTCAGACAGACATTTCCTAGAGTCTTCTGATGAGCTAGGATTAAGCTATGGGTCCTCTGAGTACGTTTTCATGAAACTATTACAGCAACAGAGAGAATTTTCATTGCATCACTTTGGTCAGACTTGAACCTTCACTGACCAATTCTGGCCAAGCCAAAGCGATGTGACTATTTAAAATAGTTGTGCATATGCAAATAGTAAGCCTAACCAAATTTATGCAGAAAACCCTTCGTTTGAGAAATAGATAAAAGACGAAAAATTTTCCGTTGTGCACACAACTAGTGTAGCTTTCATAGTGAAGGAGCCAAAATCAGACTTTTTCTATTTGTTTATCATATCCTTGAATCACAGAATTATTATAGTACAAATGGAGGCCACTCAGCCGAACATTACACTGGCCCTATTATCTAGTCCAACTTCATTATCTAGTGCCAATCACTTGCCATTTCCCCATATCCCTGCGCACCATTAGTGTCCAAAAACAAACATCCAATGCCCTAGTTGAACCTGCCTCCAAACAAATTTCCAGGCAGTGCATTGCATGCCCTGGCAATTAGAACTTCCAAAAACTGATTGGTTGAAGTTATATGATTGGTTACCCTGTTTCAATGCAGATCTCATTTGAACCGCTCAGACTTGTGAATGCAACATTGACCTGGAATTTGCTATTGTAATCATGGTGAAGCTGTCAGCATTTATGTCATTATAGTGTAAAAACTGAAAGCAACTTCTGGTGCCCACACATGTATCGGAAGAAGCAGAAAACTGGGAGTAGCAGTCAGCAATACCTTACTCCATCACAGTGTGTACCTCAGATAACAAGTTGTAGAGCTGGCATCTTGCCAGATGCCTCAGAAAGCCATTTCTGAAGAAGGGTCTAGGCCCGAAACATCAGCCTTCCTGCTCCTCTGATGCTGCTTGGCCTGCTGTGTTCATCCAGCTCTACACCTTGTTATCTCAGATTATCCAGCTTCTGCAGTTCCTACAATCTCTGAAACAGTGTGTACCTCTACAGTTTTTGCAGATTGCATGTTGCATTGCCTCAGAATCAATGATTTGATATAAACATCACACTGTTACATCTTATCCTTGCCTTAAAAACAGTTGAAAATTTTCTGCTTTATTGAATGAGGTGAAATTGAAGTCTTGTTGAGTGAGGTAAAAATGAGTTTTTAATGCTGTACCAAATCATAATTACTACTGTACAATGTTTTTGTCCTTGAAAACTATATTTACAGGTCTGGAGTTTCATTCCCTCCATTCCATGAAATAAATTCCATAATTATGTTTTGATATAATGTGAATTAATAACAGGAACAATTAATATACTTTTTTAAAAAACATTCATTTTATATTTTAACTTCTGCTTTCATATCATATGGATACCCCAATCTTTATTTGGTATTAAAGTGATGAAAATGTGAGATATAACTGCGCATTTAACTTTCTGTCTATGAGAATTCTTCATTATGATTCGCTTGCCAACCTGCTTGATGACGTCACTTGCCAGATGCCTCAAAATCCCTACCTAGAGATTGAGTAGGAAAAATTAGTGCTTTAGAATGTGGACAGTTTGCTTTGAGGTTAAGTTGTGAGTGCTGCTTCTTTGTTGCTGACCATGCAGTCTAGACCAATGTTCTTTCTTGTGGTGCTTTCAGATGGTACTATAAAAATCTAAGTCGAGGAGAAGCTGAGGACATGCTTATGAGGATACCTAGAGATGGAGCCTTTTTGGTTCGAAAGCGAGATGATCCCAATTCATATGCCATTACTTTCAGGTAAGATTACAAACTATTGCTAAATATAATGTAAAATAAATATATATTCGGCAGTGTAAGGAGAATCCAAACTTCATTTTAAATTTGTGGTCTTCTTCAGAGCTGAAAGTAAGGTTAAACATTGCCGCATTAACTATGAAGAAGGAAAGTACATACTGGGGACCTCAGCAGAGTTTGACAGTCTGGAGGAGCTTATCAATTATCATCGGAAACATCCATTGTATCGAAAAATGAAACTGCGCTACCCAGTCACAGAAAAGATGCTGGAGCGTTACAATGTGGTAGGTATTTATTTTGTTATCCTTTAATTAAGAATTCAAATCCTTTTATCCACTTTTATGAAACATTATTAATTATCTTCTTCCTACTTCAGATAGAATGATGAAATATCAAGCCCTTAAACTCTACAGTTTACGGGGGGCCTTTAGTACTAGTTGAATATCAGTCAAGTTAAGGAACCGTCCAAACCCCACAGACTGCTCTTCTCTCTCAAGAAGGCTTATCTGTGAAATGCTCCCTTTATTGGCTTGATGCCAATATTATTGAAAACAATAATCAATGGAGACAAGACATTCAGATAAAATCTTAACTTCAAACATGTAGTAACTGGATAACTTCAGTTTAGTTATTCCTTGTAGTTGAGACTTTGCATTTTAAGACTGTTTTCTGGCTGGCAAGCCATTTTCGAAAATCTCCAGATTTCACTTGAATTATGTATACCCAAGTTGAGACTTGCCATTTTTGCTTCTGAATTCCATCATTCACCAGTAGAAGGTGTTTCTGTGAACCTGACCCTGGTTTGTGTGACTGTGCACCGTCATTAAGAGCTGATAGCATTTTTACTGGCAGGTATCGGTTGGCCTGTTTTCCTGGTCTAGATCCGCACTGTGTTTTACTTTAGTCATTTCAAGAGGAAGGGAAATCACTTCATGATTTTGGACTAAAGCCAAATGATTAGTCTTCATTGAGGTTTGTAATGTAAAAGGAAGGCCTCTCCAAATTCCCGTGAAGCTACCCTTTCTGCAATCCGACATGTTCTGCATAATGAAACTTCTGGTCTGCTTTCAGGAAAAAGACTATGGCAGTCTGTATGGAATAAATTATGTGGACCCGAATGAACTAGCACCTGTTCAGGTAGGATTCAAACATGGATGTTCTTATTAAAGCATTAAATAAATATCATTTCAGTCGGCAAGAACAGGATTCAAAGCAAAAACCTATTTCTGGAATTTCTGACTTCTGTCCAAAACCTGAGAACAGTAATAGGGTACTTCTCTGATGTTACCACAGCCTCGATTCCTTCACTTGTTGTTATTCCCTTTAGCACTAGTAAATTTTAGACAAATGTTGAGCAGTTTGTGAAAAATTTGGAGGTTAATAGAACATTAGATTCAAATTAGATTTCCTAACTGCTGATTGTTCCCTACTACACTGCAATCTGCATACATTGCAACCAATTAGCTCCAGTCAGCATACCCATACTTTGGCTACCAGAAACCTAGAATATATCAGCAGGAGATTGATGTGTTTTGTAAGATTCCCAAGGCAGAACTCTATTCCTAAATTATTACTGTCATTATTCTACTCAAATACGTGCATCTCCATGTACAGTGACTTCCCAGAATCTGGTTTACGAAATCACAGCAGAACATTCTTCTTGTGAAAGATTTTCTCCAGTAACTAGAGTGAATGAAGGGAAATTCTGATCCTTGGTGTGAAACCCTCAGACTTTATCCACTGCTGTTGCCAGCTTCTGGAAGATTGATTATCTGCCAAATAGGGATATATTTTCCCTGAAGAAGTCTTGTACTCCCAACTCTTAGAGAAAACATTTTTTTTTTAAATGAAAGTACATGATACACTATCTGATATGACACAGCATCTAAGATCCATTGGACCCACTTGTGATGCAGTGGTAGTGTCCTTGGACCAGGAGGCCCGGGTTCAAACCCTACCTGTTCCAGGGGTACGTAATAACATTTCTGAACAGGTTGATTAGAAAAAAAGGTTAAGTAAACAAAGACCTGTTTTGCTGACAGGTCACCTGTGAAACATGAACTCATCTGTTTTCTGAACAGCTGCTGTGTGTTGGCACCATAGATTCATAGAGTCATACAGCATAGAAACAGACCCTTTGGTCCAACTCATCCATGCCAACAATGTTCCCAAACTAAACCAGTCCCACTTTCCTGCATTTGGCCCATATCCCTCCAAACCTTTCCAATTCATGTACTTATCCAAATGTCTTTTCAATGTTGTAACTGTACCTGCTTCCACCAATTTCCACACATGAACCACTCTCTGTATAAGAAATTTGGCCCTCATGTGCTTTTTAAAACTTTCGCCTCTCACTTTAAAAATATGCCCCGAGTTTTCAATGCCCCACCTAAGGAAAAGATCCTTTCTATTCACCTTATCTATGCCCTTTGTGATTTTATAAACCTCAATAAGGTCACCGCTCAAACTCTTATGTTCCAGTGGAGAAAATTCCAGCCCATCCAACCTATTTTTATAATTCAAACCCTCCATTCCTAGCAATATCCTAGTAAATCTTTTCTGAACACTTTCCAATTTAATATCATATTGTGTTCATGTTTCAAGTGAAATCAGATACCATTTCACAATTAGTTTAATTGCCAATCAGAAGGATTTCTGTTTAAAATAATGTAATAATATAGTGAAAGCTTTTATTTAAAGCCAGTAATGACTTCTGAGTTAGAACAACATTACTTGCTGAGCAGGAAAGTAGTTTCACATTGAAACAATGGTTCTGATTCCCTGGCTGTTTGCAAGGAGGTATTTGCACACAATAAAGCAAGAATGACACAGCTGTCCATCAAGTGTATACTCAACCCCAAATCATCCATCATATCTTCTAGCTGTCCAGTCTTCCTGATTCTAACATTCAGAATGTGAATTCGTATTGACTAAAAATGTAAGCCATTACAAAATTTTGAGAATTAAGAATCAAGTAAGTAATTAGTCTTACATTATGAAGTGTGATAAAATTCCATTTTTTTGACGCTAATCCACTTGCAGGCTAATTTTTAACATCAAAGCAGATGTAATTTTATTAGACGCAGTTATTAACTGTCAGCATTGAAATAATCAAGATGAGGGAGCAAAAAGATAGATTTAAATTTATTCATTATCACAGTACAATTACTCAAAATTAAATTTTGCTGTGTTGTGAAATTGGGTAGCGTACCTGTGGATTGTAAGGGAGGACACTAGAATTTGTTTGTAAGTGGGGATTGGGGGGGGGGGGGGGGCAAGAGTGTGTGGTCCCTTTAAAAGATGATTTTTTTTTTGGAGATTAAAAAAATGTATGCAGGCAGCAGTGGATGCACAAAGAGTTCTTGAAATTGAAATGTATCAAAAGGCTATAGTGTTAACAGGCAAAGCAGTATTTTTACCAGGACAACTGGATTTTGAATTTAGCCAATTAATTTAGAGCAGGCAGTAGATACCAAAGCCCAGTTAAATTTAAATCTGATAGTTTTGACAACCTCGGACCAATCCTATTATAAGAAATTAATAGGTGATCAAGGGTATAAAACAAGAGGGCATTTGAAAATTGGTGTGTGGGCATACTGTCATCTGTTAAGACAACAGCTCTCAACAGCCATCAGCACTAAAGAAAGAGAAAATCACTGGCTCTCACAGAAATCTGTAAGATCTCAGAGTAAGCATCATCTAAATAAAGTACTTTGGCACTCTTAGCTAATATTCTTGACACAAGAATTCGATGGAGGAAGGCGTTCCTGACTGGAGGATAGTGGAGAAGGCAAAGAACATTCCCAAAGACTTATCCTGGCTATAATTTCAAGAGATTAAGTTTTAATCTTTTTTTAAATTAATTTGATTTATGCAAGTCAGACTCATATCTATTAGAACAGCATACCATTAGAATTACGTTTTATGCAGGAATAGTTAGTAGTTTAGGGGGAATTGTTTGGTTTGTTAGCAGTTCTGTTAATTTGTTCACTGTTAGAGTTAGATAAATAAATTGTTACTTGTTGATAATAGAGTGACTGTCAGGAGTTCATTTCATTCAATCTCTCCTTTATAACAGATTGGAGAATTGAGAGGCAGGTTATACCACTTTTCATACATCCTTTAATAGATTACAAGGCAATTTTGGTTTTAATTATCAGAGGCGTTCAATCACCTCCCCCCCCACTCGCACTTTGTAACAGCAGCAAGTTGATATCGGTTTTATGTACCACATTGAAAACTAAAAGGGTGGGTACTGGGTGATCTACAGGTGTCCGAAACAATGCTGTCACCAAACAGGCTTTATCTTTAAAAGGTAATTGAATGTGGAGAGGGAAGGGAAAGCATGTTTCTCCCAGCTCCCCATTAAAACCACAGGTCACTCCTGATCACTTCCCTGCCACCTCATCCCCTCCTCTGATCTCCTCTTGTCCCCTTTTAGATCATAACCTTTTTTCATGCATTCATCTATCTTATTATCCATGTCTAACTCACTTCCACAACTAGCTGCTCCACCACTCAATCCTCATTTCTCCCATGCCACCCACTAAGGCATTCTTTTAAGGCTACTGCCAACCAATACATCAGGCCCAAATTTGCCAAATGCCTGGAATACCAAACAGACCACAGGCTGTTTTTGTGTTATGAAATAACATATGCCTGTCATCTTGACCCACTTTAAATATCTGGGTATCTAGCAAATTACTGCTTCCCTTGTGTGTTGTGGCTTTAGGTTTAATGGGCAGTTGATAATTATGGAGTATATTGTTGAACTATTTAATTTCGCCCTGTGTGTAAATCCAAATACCCTGTATGTCAACATATTTATCGAATATCTTTTTTTTAATTCATTCACGGGGTGAGGGCGGCAGTGGCTAGGCCAGCATTTATTGCCCATCCCTAATTCCCCAGAGGCAGTTAAGAGTCAGCCACAATGCTGTGAGTCTGGAGTCACATGTAAGCCAGACCAGGGGTAAGGATGGCAGTTTCTTTCCCTGAAGGATATTGGTGAACCAGATGGGTTTTTTTTGCTGACAATTGACAATGGATTTATGGTCACCATTAGATTTTTAATTCCAGATTTTTATTGAACTCAAATTCCACCATCTGCTGTGGCAGGATTTGAACCCGGTCCCCAGAACATTACCTGAATCAATAGTCCAGTGATCATACCACTAGGCCACAGCGTTCCTTATTACTATGTTGCAGCATCACATGATAAGTGAGTTAGTGAGACTGAAAAAAATACCTCCGAAAAACAAAAAGCAGCTCTCAAGGAAATCTCAAAAGGAACATTCAAAAAACAAAAATAATTTGACCCCTGCATTGAACCAGGTCTGAAAAATTGATGGCTGGGTAAAACTTTGCCCTTGTGGTGTGTATTAATGTATTGAGTTCAGGAGCAGATCACAAGCTAAGATAGATAAATGTGAATTTGGGTTTCTTCTCAGTATGATTGTCAGTGGTGTAATTGTAGACAACAACAAATTGAATTGAGGAGAAATATGAAGCATTACTTTTTAACCAATGTGTACACTAACTAATATTATTAATTAATATTTTGAATTTTGCAACTTGCTAGGATGTTACATTGCTCATTGCAATTTTAAGTAAATTGACAACACTTCCATAATCTGTATATAAACGTGATATTTAAAGGGAAGGCTTCTGCTCTTTCCTTTTATAATTAAAGTATTAATTTTATAGCTTATACTCTAATAATAAACAGTGGACTTATTTGTATTTAAATTTCTATGAAGCAGTTAACAATTCATTTCTTAATTCAAAGGGTTCAGTGAAAGCTTTGTATCAATACCAGAGTCAACAACAAGATGAGTTGTCTTTCCCTAGAGGTGCCATCATCTACAATGTCAAAAAACATGATCAAGGATGGTGAGATATTTTTTCTGTCAGTATCAGAGATAATTATTTGTTAGATTATTCTATCCATATACTTTAAGGAATGAAAGTTAAACAAAGAGGAAAACAGTAAGTTAGGATCATCATGTGTGGTAAGACGTATTTGTAGCTCATTCTTACTTCCTGTAAATCAAACATGTCCTTGTGTAAACCTCTCAATGATAATTTCTCATAGACTCTAGACATACAATGTTTATACTTTGGGTTCCATTATCTTGTTCAATAGTTCTCTATGATACAGCCTTCACTTTACCAATCTGTGATATAAGTTTGAAGGCACAGCATGCCACATTGGAACTCAAATTATGGCTATTCTCTTAAGCAGATTTATTCTCAATTTCATTTTCAATTCCTTTGTGGGCCTTGGACCTCTATCTTAACTTTATCATAACTAAAAAACTTTGTTGTGCTGGTTTAAGATATTCCCCAAACTATTTGAAATGACTCTAGGTCTTCGCTAATTCTGATGTGTTAAGATTTCTTGTTCAGATAGATAAACACTTACATTAATGGTTAGTTGATATCAGAGCTCACCGACAGATAACATAATAAAGGTCACTGACTGAATAGTTAGGAACACTGGAGCAGAAGTAGACCCGTCAGCCCATTGAATCTGCTCCAACATGGCTGATGATCTACCTGAATGCCATATTCACACACTCTACCCGTGTCCCTTGATGTGTTTAGTAACTAGGAACCTATCAGTTTTTCTTTTAAACTCACTTAGTGACTGAACTCCAGCACCCTTCTAGAGTAACAAATTCCAAAACATTCACCAGCTTCTGAGTGAAACAAGTCCTCCTTTTATTCTGAGACTTATTCTATTTTCATTCAGCAAACCCAATGTTAAGAAAATATTAAAACAATAGCTTTTCTGAAGAAATTCTATAATTCTATATATCTGATACGTTTAGGTGGCAGGGGGATTACGGAGACCAAATACAAAAGTTTTTTCCAGCCAATTATGTGGAAGAAATAGTTACTGAAAGCCAGGAAGACTTTAACAACCAGGTATGTTTTATTTGTTCAGTAATTGTATTTACAGGCAGTCCCTGGTATTCGAACGGATTCTGTTCCTGAATCCGATCGCAAGTTAATTTATAAGCAGGTCAGAACATAGTGCAGGACAATATAAAGCTGCCGTTCATAAGTACAGGATATGTTCCAATGTTGGGTATTTATAATTACATCCCTATGTGGGATTGAGTTTGTAAGTCAGACGTTTATAAAAAATATTTAGTTATGGGTTGATTAATGGGCTGTTCAATTAAGTCAGTGTTATCCTGAAAATGGATCTGAAATAACTCCACAGAGGCCAGTATCCCTGTCACGAAGTCACCATGCAAAGTCCATGACACTGATTTAGCTTCCTCAGAGCCAGCTCTCAGAGTGAACAGAATCTCTGACACTCCTGCTTAGATCTGTCAGCCAGGGCTCCCTGATTGCACCAGATTAATAGCCCCAATCAGGGGGCTCATATTTCATAGAATCTTAGAATCCCTACAGTGTAGAAACAGGCCATTTGGCCATTTGGCCCAACCCTCCAAAGAGCAAGCCACCCAGACTCACCCCCCTACCCTATCCCTGTAATCCTGCATTTCCTGTGGCTAATCCACCTAACCTATACATCCCTGGACACTATGGGCAATTTAGCATGGCCAATCCACCTAACCTGGACATCTTTGGACCGTGGGAGGAAAGCAGAGCAGCCAGAGGAAGTCCATGCAGACATGAGGAGAACATGCAAACTCCACACAGACAGTCACCCAAGGCTGGGATTGAACCCTGGCACTGTGAGGCAGCAGTGCTAACCACTGAGCCACTGTGCCACCCTCATATTCTACTGAAGTCCACCTGGCTGCCCTTGTTACAATCACTACAGGATTGTTCTTTATATTTATTTCCGTTGATTTATTTCCATTGCTATTATTTCATCATCATTATACTCCAACTTCAAACAGCTTCTAATAATAATGCTCTCAAACTGGTTTTAATCCATTTGGAGGTATAATCCTCGACCTTATTTGTTTATTTTATTCAGATAACAGAAGATAACCCCCTAGGAGTAATATGCAGAGGAATTGTGGAACTTGCCAAGTGTTCTGTTGGTACGTCTGAGCTGTGTAATGGGTTACCACGATGGAATCATGCAATTGTTTCATAAAAAATCATAAAATGATACTACACAGAAGAGGCACTTTGGCCCATTGAGTCTGCAATGACAAAGTTACTCTAAATCTACACTAGTCCCACTTTCCAGCACTGTAATACAATGACATTGAGTGTTCATCAAGTATTTTTTAAAGGTTGTGAAGTTTCCCACCCAAACTACCCTCCCAGGTGGTGCATTCCAGATTCCTACCAACCATGGGTGAAAACATTTTTTTCCTCAAATCCCCTCTAAACGTCCTGTCTTTCACCTTAAAATTGTGTCCTGTTGTTATTGACCCTTCAACTAAGGGCAACAGCTGCTTCCTATCCATCTTGTGTAAGCCCCTCATGACCTTAAAGACCTCAATCAGGCCCACACTCAGCCTTCTCTGTTCCAAAGAAAACAACGCGAGCCTATCCAGCTTCTCTTCATAACTAAAATGCTCCATCCCAGGCAACACCGTGGTGAATCTTCTCTGCAACCCCTCCAGTGCCATCACATCTTTCCAATAGTGAAGCAACCAGAACTCCACACGGTACTCCAGCTGTGGCCTAATCTAAGTAATTTGTTTGTTTGTCTTTATTTCTTTGTTCTAATGGCTTGGAAGGACATTGTGAAAGTTGAAATGTTTCTTTGCTTTAAAAATAGTCAAACAGGCAAATGGGATGCAGGGAATGGCATACGTGTTTACTATTCAACCAGAAGTGCCCCCGGATGCACCAACTCTTGATGTTGCTACGGACTCATTGGAAGAAATGTTTTCATGGTACCATGAAGTGGTACAGTGTTCTCAGAAAAAACTCGTCCAGGTATGTCTCGGGCAAATATTTATTTTTCTTTGGTAAAATAGAATCCCTACAGTGTGGAAGCAGGCCATTTGGCCTATTGAGTTCATAAGAACATAAGAACTAGGAGCAGGAGTAGGCCATCTGGCCCCTTCGAGCCTGCCCCGCTATTTAATAAGATCATGGCTGATCTTTTTGAGACTCAGCTCCACTTAGCCGCCCACTCACCATAACCCTTAATTCCTTTACTGTTCAAAAATTTATCTAGCCTTACCTTAAAAACATTCAGTGAGGTAGCTTCAACCGCTTCACTGGGCAGGGAATTCCACAGAAGTGGAAGAAGAAGTGAAGAAGTTCCTCCTGACCTCAGTCCTACATCTGCTTCCCTTTACTTTGAGGCGGTGCCCTCTAGTCCTAGTTTCACCTGCTAGCGGACATAACCTTCTTGCCTCCACTTTATCTATTCCCTTCATAATCTTATATGTTTCTATAAGATCTCCCCTCATTCTCCTGAATTCCAGTGAGTATAATCCCAGTCTACTCAGTCTCTCCTCATAATCCAACCCTCTTAACCCTGGAATCAACCGAGTGAATCTCCTCTGCACCCCCTCCAGTGCTAGTATATCTCTTCTCAAGTAAGGAGACCAAAACTGCACACAGTACTCCAGGTGTGGCCTCACCAGGACCCTATACAGCTGCAGCATAGCCTCCCTGTTTTTAAACTCCATCCCTTGAGCAATGACAGACAAAATTCCATGCCTTTTTAATTACCTGCTGCACCTGCAGTCCTACTTTTAGCGATTCATGCACACGGACACCCAAGTCCCTCTGCACAGCAGCGTGCTGCAATTTTTTACCATTTAAGACATAGTCCATTTTGCTGTTATTCCTACCAAAATGGATGACCTCACACTTATCAACATTGTACTCCATCTGCCAGACCTTTGCTCACTCACTTAGACTATCTGTATCCCTCTGCAGACTTTCAGTGTCTTCTGCACACTTTGCTCGACCACTCACCTTAGTGTCACCTGCAAATTTTGACAAACCATACTTAGTCCCCAACTCCAAATCATCTTGTAAACAATTGAGATTCCAACACTGATCCACCCATTTACCCCTACTCTTTGCTTTCTACTGGTCAACCAATCCTCTATCCATGCCAATACATTACCTGTAATACCGTGCAACTTTATCTTATGTAGCAGCCTTTGGTGTGGCACCTTGTCAAATGCCTTCTGGAAACCCAGATACACCACATCCACAGGTTCCCCATTGTCCACCATGCAAGTAATGTCCTCAAAGAATTCCACCAAATTAGTTAAACATGACTTACCCTTCATGAACCCATGCTGGGTGTTCCCAATGGGACAATTTATATCCAGATGTCTTGCTATTTCTTCCTTAATGATAGATTCAAGCATTTTCCCCACTACCGAAGTTAAGCTAACTGGCCTGTAGTTACCTGCTTTTTGTCTACTTCCTTTTTTAAACAGTGGCGTCACATTGGCTGTTTTCCAATCTGCGGGAACCACCCCAGAGTCCAGTGAATTTTGGTAAATAATTACTCGTGCATTTGCTATTTCCCCCATCGCCTCTTTTAGACCCTGGCATGCATTTCATCAGAGCCAGGAGACTTGTCTACCTTTAGCCCCATTAGTTTGCCCAGCACTGCCTCCTTAGTGATAATGATAGTTTCTAGGTCCTCACCTGCTATAACCTTCTTGCCATTAGTTTTCAGCATGTTATTTGTGTCTTCCACTGTGAAGACCGACACGAAATAACTGTTTAATGTCTCGGCTATTTCCTCATTCCCAGTTATTAAATTGGCCTTCTCATCCTCTAAAGGACCAACGTTTACCTTCGCCACCCTTTTACGATTTACATATTTATAGAAACTTTTGCAGCCTGTTTTTATATTCTGAGCTAGTTTACTGTCATAATCCATCTTACTTTTCTTTATAACTGTTTTTGTGGCTTTCTGTTGGCCTTTAAAGATTTCCCAGTTACTAGTTTCCCACTACTCTTTGCTTTTTTGTATGTGTTTTTTTTCAATCTGATACTTCCCTTTATTTCCTTAGACATCCATGGCTGGCTCTCTCTTTTCCTACAGTTCTTTCTTATCACTGGAATATACTTCTGCTGAGCACTGTGAAAAATTGTTTTGAAAGTCCTCCACTGTTCCTCAATTGACCCACCATAAAGTTTTTGCTCCCATTCTACCTTAGCTAACTCCTTCCTCATTCCTTCATAGTCTCCTTTGTTTAAGCACAGGACATAGGTACTGGATTTGACCTTCTCACGCTCCATCTGTATTTTAAATTCAACCATACTATGATCGCTCCTTCCGAGAGGATCCCTAACTGTGAGATCATTAATTATTCCTGTCTCATTACACAGGAGTAGATCTAGGATAGCTTGCTCCCTCGTAGGTTCCTTTATATATTGTTCAAGGAAATTATCGCGGATGCGTTCTATGAACCTCTCCTCAAGGCTACCATGACCGACCTGGTTTGACCAATCGATATGTAGATTAAAATCCCCCATGATAACTGCTGTACCATTTTTACATGCATTAGCTATTTCTATGTTTATTGCCCCCCCCACCACGATGTCATTATTTGGTGGCCTATAGACCACACCTATCAGTGACTTCTTCTCCCTGCTTTTCCTAATTTCCACCCAAATGGATTCAACGTTTTGTTCAGTAGAACCTATATCATCTCTCACGACCGCCCTGATATCATCCTTAAAAATCAGAGCAACACCACCTCCCTTACCTTCCTGTCTGTCCTTCCGAACAGTTTGATACCCCTGGATATTTAACTCCCAGTCATGACCATCCTGTAACTATGTCTCTGTAATGGCCACTAAATCATACCCATTTGCCATGATTTGCACCATCAACTCATCCACCTTTTTTCAAACGCTCCGAGCATTCAGATGAAGTGCCCTTATGCCAGTTTTTGCACCTTCTTTTTGGGTCCTATTACCTCCATTACTAACAGCTCTTGAGTTCTCCTTCCCTTTAACTTTTTTCCTAATTTTCAATGGAGTTGAAGCTTCCTCGTCACCTGCTAACCTGCTGCTTTGCCTTACATTAATTGTTTTTCTCCCTCTACGCTCACTTCTCCCTTCCCCCCTACTTACTAGTTTAAAGTCCTATTAACCACCCTATTTACAGTTTTCGCCAGAACACCCTGCTCAGGTGGAGTCCATCCCAGTGGTATAGATCCCTCCTGTCCCAGAACTGATGCCAGTGCCCCATGAAAAGGAAACCCTCTTTCCCACACCACTCTTTTAGCCACTTGCTTACTTCCCTGATCCTCGCCTCCCTATGCCAATTTGCACATGGCTCGGGCAGCAATCCAGAGATTATGACCCTTGAAAACCTGTTTTTTAATTTTGTTCCTAGCTTTTCATAATCCCGAAACAGGTCTTTTTCCCTAGTCCTGCCTATGTTGTTGGTACCTACGTGGACCACAACAACTGAATCCTCCCCCTCCCTCTCTAGTATCCTCTCAAGCCAGTCAGAGATGTCTTGCACCCTGGCACCGGGCAGGCAACACACCATGCGGGATTCTCTATCCTGCTCGCAAAGGATACTGTCTATCCCCCTGATGATGGAATCCCCTACAACTCCAATCTGTTTTTTTGCTCCCCCCTCTTGAATGGTATCCTGGACCATGGTGCCATGGTCAGTTGACTCATCCTTCCTGCATCCCTGTTCCTCATCCACACAGGGAGCAAGTGCCTCATACCTGTGGGACAATGTCAAGGGCTGCGGCTCCTGTATTCCTGTCTGCAGGGTCCCTCTGCCTACCTCACTCGCAGTCACACACTGCTGTCCCTGCCCGCTGATTGAATTAACATTAGTTAATCTACCAAGTGTGACTGTCTCCTGGAACACAGTATCCAGGTATTTCTCCCCCTCCTGGATGTGCCACAGTGTTTGGAGTTCGGATTCCAGCTCATCAATTTTGAGCCTGAGCTCCTCAAGCAGCCAACACTCGCTGCAGATGTGGTCACTGCCGTTCTCAATGGGATCAGCTAGCTCCCACATCATACAGCTACAACACATCACCTGGCCTGCCATCTCTACTTAGTTAATTATTTAAAACTAATTAGTTTTTGTTTAGTTTCACAGTGTTCTCTGCACCAGTAAGTTTACTCCGTTATATACTCAAACAGACTCCGGCTTTGCCTTCCGACCCGCTCCCAGAGGATTTGGCGTCTGGGTGACCACCCCGAAAGATAACAAAGAGATGAGGAAAGAAAATGCAAATAGCTTACCTGCTCACCACACTTAGTCGTTATTATTAGGTTAGAGGAAGTGGAAGGGTGGGAGACACTACGCGTGTAGTGTCTCGGGTATTAGTTAACTCCCAAATTTATTGGGTGGAAGCTTACCTTCCCAGGCTGCCCTCGCGCTTCCTCCCGGACTCCCGCCGCTGAAACAACTGAAAGGCCGCAGTCATGCGAGGTAAGAATTTTATAATCGAAAAGCTTACCTTCCCAGGCTGCCCTCGCACTTCCTCCCAGACTCCTGCCACTGACCTTCCAGAGAGCATCCCACCCAGACCCACCCCACTACCCTATTCCTGCATTTCCCATGATGTGGAGGTGCCGGTGTTGGACTGGGGTGGACAAAGTCAGAAGTCACACACCAGGTTATAGTCCAACAGGTTTATTTGAAATCACAAGCTTTTGAAGCACAGCCCCTTCGTCAGATGCAGTGAGAGAACAGAGCACACCGACCCAGAGATTGTAGGCAGAGGGATCAAGGGCAGAGAGATCATACAACTGGTGTGAGTGGATTATCAGATAATAAGTCTCTGCAGGTGGCTGAGAGTGTTATACGGTGAGTAAAGTGTCAACAGCTGAATAACCAGCAAAGGGATGACCTATAAACCGGTTAAGTGAGGCAGAGAGATAATTACAAAAAATTAAAAATAAGGAGGTGCTGGAGACAAACTAAATGGCTGGAATAACATGGTAAGTATAAGAGTCACATGCCAAGGGTC